TGCATCCCGAAAGTCACTGTTTGGTGCGGATTTTGGTCTGGCGGAATCATCGGTCCGTACTTCTTTCAAAACGAAGCGGGCGTTGCCATAACCGTCAACGGCGAGCGCTACAGATAAGTAACTTCTTGTGGCCTAAAATGGATGATATGGATACCGATAACATATGGTTCCAACAGGATGACGCTAAGTGCCACACACCGCATGCCGATGGACATTCTGCACGAGCGATTTGAGGGCATGGTTATCTCGCGCGGCGGTGACATGAACTGGTCACCGAGATCGTGCGATTTAATGCCTTTAGACTTCTTCTTTTGGGGCTATCTTAAATCGCAGGTCTATACGAATAAACCACAAACAATTGATGTTCTCAAAGTCAACATAACAAACGCCATCCAGCAAATTCAGCCAGATTTGCGAGAAAGTCATCGAAAATTGGACTGTCCGAATACATGTCACCAAGCGAAGCCGCGGCGGATATTTGGGCAACGTTTTATTCCATACTTAATGCCATAAAATATTCTTTCAAATAAAAAAAAAATTGAGTGGACATCTCACATACAACTTGTTTTATTTATATTTAAAAATCGAGTGTCCTTATTGAAAGACCCTTTATATACTGATGTAAAAACTGGAAACAATCAATACAGTTTTATTGCTAAAATATTATTGATCAGCTTCACATTTAAAAATACACACGTGAAAGTTATAAAATAGTAAAAAAAATATTTAAAGCATACTCCGAAAAAGAATCTCTGAGAGATTCGCCTATTCGATACATACGCTAATTCTTATAGGATCCTGGATATTTTCTTTTTACGAGAAGCAAGTTCATCTTGTGGCGAGACCGTATATGAAAATGCTCGGTTTCTGCTGCCAATCTGCTGTCAGATTATGCAGCAGACTCTGATCGGTTTCAACAATTTGCTAATATTGTCTGATAGTACAAATTTTGTGTACAATTTATTCTGCAATCAGAAATTGATAGCAGACTTTGCTCAAAATCTGACTCTTCAAATTTGACTATGTGGGTACCAAATAAAAAATTAAATATACTCTTAGAAAAGCAGTTCACTCTTAAAATTTCATTTTTAGCTCATTCGTTTTCATACTATTTATTTTTAAAATTCACTTTCATTCTATTTGTATTTATTTCTATTGTCATACTTCTTTAATTTATTCATTATAAAATCATTGGCTCTCTCCCTCTACGTTCAGCAAAACATTTGTTTTACAATTGTTGGAAATTTTTTCGCGTTGATTGAATTATATTTTTAGATTTAGAGAAATGATTTTATCTCAGCAGCATCACATTAAAACGGTTGCGTTCTGCTGAACGCACTCATTGTTATATATACAATTTCAGTTTTATACTTCACATTTGAAAATGCACGTGCATTTTGATGCATTTCTGGTTTTGTCTTATTCGCACTGTTGGCCATACGTATTATAGGTACTCTATGCTCCAGCATCTCCTTAAAGGTGCCGTATAAATGTAATCACTATTAAAGATCGTCAATCTCTGGGCAAATTTTCAGCGATATAAAAAGGCCCCCGGAATAAATGAAGAACGATAATTATCGACAAATAACTGATATAAATTTGCTATTAGGTATACAATTTTGCTTCCGCCGTTTTTTTCCGAAATTCGAGGCTTTATTGTAAAAAATTGGTTATATATTTATGATTCAAAGTATTGTCCATCGCTGGCCACTACTTTCTCCCATCTTTCGGGTAGCGTACGAATCCCGCGTCGAAAAAACTGGTCATCTTTTGAGGTTATCCACGAATCGATCCAATTTTTTACTTCTTCATAAGAAGTGCTGGTCAGCCAGGTCGTGTGCCATTGATCGAAACAAGTGATAGTCAGAGGGAGCAACGTCTGGAGAATACGGTGGGATAGGACTTCCCATTTCAACGTTTCCAAATATGTCTTGATCATTTTCACAACATGGGGTCGAGCATTGTCATGCTGCAAAATCACTTTATCGTGTCTCTCGTTGTATTGCGGCCGTTTGTCTTTCAATGCTCGGCTCAAACGCATCAATTGCGTTCGATCCCGATCGCCTGATTGTTTCAGTCGGTTTTAACAGTTCATAATACACTACGCCGAGCTGGTCCCATCAAATACAGAGCATGACCTTGGACATCAAAATCACTGTTCTTGAAGCGTTAAAACCACTCACGACATGTTCTTTCACTAATAGCGGCCTCACCATAAGGATTTGAGAGCATTCAATGAGTCTCAGCCGCAGATTTCTTCATATTGAAGCAAAAAATTAAAACCTCCCGCAAATGACGAGAATTTTGGCTCGTAAACTGACATTTTCAATCGAGAATAACTTTATGATGCAGACACAAATCGACTAATGTTTCTATGGGATTATGTTGACAGATGCCCAAGTTTATTGTATGATGTTTATGATCTATTTATTTCGATTATCACTTACCGCTAAAGCCATCTATAGGAAAACGACGGAAACAAAGTTATACACCTAATATTATTAACATGAATTTTTGGCTAATACATTTTTAAATTCATAATTTTTTATTACATAATGCTCCATAAATAAATATGCACTTGTAAAGCTATAATATCCTATATATTATCGAAAAATTACAATTTTTTTCTCTGAGTTACCATCTTTATTGATAATCAAATTTTGATGATACACTGAAATTACAATTTAAAAAAAAAATCAAATATTATTGAGTTTTAAATGCATACATACCGATAAACACGTCTACTAAACTATAATCATAAAATGACAATAGTAAATAGTTTTTTACTTTCAGTTTTTTACTCTTAATCACTTCAAAATTAACAAGGATGTGAGGATGTCGGTCTTTAATAGTATCTCATCAGTGATTGCATTAACTACTGTAATTTCATGTTTTTTTGTAGGTATAGTAAACATTGAATGCTTTATTAGACTGATTTTTTTATCAAACACTTTGTATCAAAAAGTTTTTTGGATTGCTGATTATGAAATTTGAAGTTATTTTAAATTATATTTATTAATTTATATTTATATTATTATAGTTATTATAATTATCATTATAATTATTGTATAACGATTTTTTAAATCACTAAATTGGATACTATTTTAAATGTTTAAATTTCGACTTTAAATTCGTAATCACCGACCCAAAAACTTTTTGATGCAGTATCAAAAAAATTAGTCCAATAAAGCATACGGTGCTTACCTACTAAAGAACGATAAAGAAGGAATATGTTAATACAATTTATTTCTATAGTAAATATTTGATCATTTTGGAAAATATATATGTATGCGTTTCTGTAAATTTTTTCATGACGAAATCGAATCTATTGCCTATACAGCACAAAAGAATTGCAAAATGATTGCAATGTCTCATAGGAATATTGTAATATTACAAATAGATTGCGCAATGTATTTGCAACATTAGTTGCTTTCTTTTACACACAAGTGAAACTAAGTCTGAAGTGAGCTGAGTATTTTATACTCAGATTAATGACATCATTATTTGTTTTCTTTGGTAATAAGTTATCCAATGACGACACAGTTTCATAACTTCACTTTTAAAGTGAGTTTACGAGGCTCACTATAAAGCATATAGTCTCGATCTTGTGCAGATTATAGACAAAAACTTAAATCTACTTGTCAGAAGAAACGCGTATTCAATTGAGTTATGAGAAATATCTGAGAATCGGTGTAAATGGAAAACAACTATTGTTGCAATTCATAGAGTGCATCATAAAAATGTGCACCTTCAGCAAGATGCTGTAATGTCGTAGAAATGTTGAGCGCAATATATTTACATCTATTATTAAAAATAATTCTTATTATTATCGAATATAATTTGAAATACAATTTGTGATGTAAATAAAAAAAATGCAGAAAAAGAATGTAGATATATTTTACACTTTTTCGCAAATATATTTTACACTTTACAGGTACGCCTATTTTGCACATATTCTTAACTAGTAAAATGGAAATAATAAGAAACTTCATACATTCTATTTCATTTTCTTTGCTATATTCAAAGAATTTTTTAAATCCATATTCTAAAAAATATAAGAGTTGATTATAAGATTTGAAAAATCTTGTCGCACGGCGGTAACAAATATAATTTCAATGAACACTATAATTTCTAATAGCTCTCGTACATATTAGACGCGGAAACATTTGCCGCGCGGCAAAATGCGGTGCAATAATTAATAAACTTACAGCTCCTAACATGTTCATTAGTTACCGTGTCGCATTTTATGATTTCTGCGTCCAGTGTGTAGAAATCATAAATTAATGGAAATAATTAACAATCACATAACGTGTAATTGACGTATGTTTCCACATGTGACAGCTCATTACTCAAAAGCTAAAATGTTTTTTAATATCTCTGTAACAATGCTGCAAGATTTGTAAAATCTTGTGCCGTAATATGTTATATATATATATATGTTACAATTCCTAATATCTACAATATTGCATATTATAACGCAATATTGTAACATTTCTACAATGTTATTATAAGTTTCTGTGCTGTATGAATGGCAAAATTAACGGATATCCTCTCGTTTCAAAGTTATTGTAATCTGAAGATGCCAAAAAATGATCTTTTTTGCATTTTTAGAATATCTCAAAATCCTGTCGTGATAAACAATTTTTGTGATGGCTAAATTCAAATTCAGCGCAAAAAATTATGTCGGAAATCACTCTTACATCTTAATATAGGAATGGTTTCCAACATAATTTTTCTGAATCCAAATTTAGCCACAAAAATCAATCTTCGTAGACCTATGTAATTTATTAATGAAAAAATTGGCGTTGGATTAAATTTGTTTGCATTGTTAAATATTCTTTGCTACAGTTAAGAAATGAAAGAGTGAAAATATGTGTGAAATTATATAAAAAAATAAAGATACAACACTTCAATTTTTTTCGTTTTCAATAATATTATTCAAATTTTTGTGCAAATCATATAGTAATGTATAAGTATTGTAAAAGCTATGAAAAACTTACTGTCTTATCCATAACTGGAATATTTGGAAATATCACATCTTGAAGTTCGTGCATAAGATCTATATTTATACGCTCCAATGGAGAATCGGATTCTTCAGGAGAACTAGGGCTTAAAGGTGAATACTGTTTTCTGTAATAAAAATATATGTAATAAATAAATGCAGTTACAGTAGTTTACAGTAAAAAAAATTACTTCAAACCGGACTAAGTATTTCTTATAAATTTTTGAATACTGAAAACGATGCTATGAATAAAAAATTTCAATGTCAGGTTTTCAAATAATAATTGGGGTTCAAATGTTCAAAAATGGTATTTTTAACGATATTTGACTTTTTTTTTATCAAAGCCACATCAATTTGTAAACTGAAACCTATTTCATTGCCTACTTTTGTAACTTATCTTGAGAGCTCTCCAAAATACTATTCAAAATACTATATATAAAATACTTTTTCATTTCATTAAATATTATTTGAACTAGAAGGCTGGAAAGTTACCATACTATCAGCATTAGAGCATTATCTAAGATATCCAACAGATGATTAACACCTTTAAATGTTATTCAAGATCATGACTTTCATAACATTTGATAAAATCAAAATCGTTATTCTTGGTATTTTCATTTTTACTTTTTAGCGTAAATACCCTTCATAACAATGGCGCCATAAAGTTATATAGAGATTTTAGATAGCATTAAGTTGCACTTTTTATACTCAATGCACTTTTAGTTCTGTTACACATCTAGATAGATCCTATATAGTTTATGTTCTTTTTTACGATCGCATTTTGTTGCGCCTTATATATTCTCTCTTCGTTCTACAAGAATAAAGACTTTGGATATTACATTAATTCTTTCGTCGAACATTATACGGGCACATATTCCTATAACCTGGTAATCCCGACGATTCAAGAAATACAAGAGTACATTCGTTTTTAGTGCGCGTGCTCTGAAGAACGGTATTGAAATGGTGAAGAAATAAATAGATAGTAAGCAGTACGTTGAAATCTGGATATTCTTACAATCCAGCAAAGGCCTACGCAAAAACAATGAACGTAGTACATTCTCCAAAGGGATACATCAATCGAGGCAATCAACTCGGCGATGAAGGCGAGATTACGAGACAAGCAGAGACGAATCTCATAAGCCGATATTCATAGTCGAGTCTTAAGACGCTAATACAACCTTCTGATTTCGTGACTTCTTAAGATGGTCTTGAATAAGATCTGACTATGAATATCGACCATAGAGTTAGAGAACAATGATATACAAAAGTACAATAAGAGGTTTAATCCTTTATTTTGAAGAAAAAAATGAGCAACAGTACGATCCAGGTACAACTTCTGAAAATTGTTTTTCGGAAATAGTGAACACGGAGAGACGAGTTAAACTCTTAGAATCGCAGAACCAGCATGCATCGGACGAACTCGTATTTCCTTTCCATGCGTATCAAACGCGACCGAGACATCGCGAACCGAAGCTACACGGAATATAGAGTAAAATTACGTAAATTTTAACCCAGAAGTAATGTATATTACGTGTATATATCGGGCGTAGTTTGAGATCGCGGAGAGCAAATTCTTAGAATGAAATATTTCCGAATCGGAAAAATTTGCCGCATTAATATCCAGCCTGGATGATGTTTATGACAGCTTGAGCAATGTAATTGCCGGACTTTCTTCCGCAAATCGTCATTCTAAGCATTACTGATCGAACATTATTCTTTAACGCGAGGACAAGAATTACGGAAATTACTATCCGATTTATCAGTCAAAGATAGTAAATCCTCCTGGCTATTTGCGGAAATGCAGTCAGTCACCCATTAAGGAAGATTTGACGATGAAAATCTAAAAATACTCTTTCTCGAGTATTTATCTAGCGATATGCGAATGACGCTACAAGTAGTTCTCGACAATATAGATTGCGCATTGGCAGCAGTAGCGGACAAAATAATGGAATATCGACCATCAGATGACGGTCAAGAAATAGCAATTCAAAAGCCAGAAGATGACATCGTCAAAAAGTTCGGGGAGATCACAAAGTGATTAGATCAAATGCAAGCGCATTTCGAATCAAAATCGCGATCAAGCCCGCGTTCACGTTCGCGTTCAAGATCATCTAATTCCTCGCGCAATCTCGCAGAAAAATTTGTTTTTACTATCGACGATTTAGAGAAAAGGCAAAGAAATGTGTCGAACTGGACACAAAAAAAATAAGTTCTACAAACGACAGAAAACTAATACAGTCGTCATTGGTTTCGACGACAATAGACGGCACGCCGACGCGTTCCTCCCGCCGACTATTTATTATGGACAAAGTATTGGACTTCGTTTCCTTGATTTAAATTGGATGTTTCGGTCATCTCACCATGTCCTTCGGATTCGATTAAAAGCGCGCAAGGATATATTATATGCCGCGAACGGGCATATCAAGACTTTCGGAAAACGTGTAATGTCTTTAGATCTCGGACTACGTTGATCAATTCACTGCGTCTGCTTCATCGCTCGAGTGCCGTATGCGATTCTGGGAGCCGATGTTCTATACCAGTATAATCTCAAACCCAATCTCCGTTTAAAAAGGTTTGAAGATGCGGAGATAAGACTGAGTGTCAAAGCGAGAATTGATGATGCCCCTTGTTTAGGGATAATCTAGATTCGATAAAGCTATTTCTATAGCTGACATTTTTGCTCAATTCCCAGAAATCATAAAACCCGTCGTCATCGCTAAACCTCATCATTCCGTTACACATCAGATAAAACCGTTTGTACAGCCAGTTTACGAAAAACTATGGCGTCGATATCCGGATAAGCTGAAAGCGAAAACATAATTCCAATTTGCTAGAGCAAGGTTATTACCGATCATCAAAAAGTCAATGGGCCAGTCTTCTACGTATGATCAAAAAGAAGAATAACAGTTGGCGTCCGTGCGGCGATTATCATCGTTTAAATGCACAAACATTACCCGACAGATATCCGACAGATATCGCGCACGTTCAAGATTTTTCATCGATTCTGCATAGAAAAACTATTTTCTCTACTAATAGACTTAGCCAGACTTAGAGCTTATCACTAGATACAATACAATTGCAGATGCAGATATCCCCAAAACTGCCATCACAATGCTCTTCGATTTATTTGAATTTTTAGTGATGCCTTTTGGACTCAGGAATGCAGCGTAAACTTTCCAGCGTAAACTTATCAACTAGGTGCTGATAGGTCTCGATTTTGTTTTCGCCTATATCGATAATATTCTCATCGCATCCTTATTCGTGCAAGAGTACAGACAACATTTTAAGACAGTCTTCGGCCGAGGGATCATGAAGTATCCATTAACATCGAAATGTAAATTCCAGGCAGAGTCGATAGAATTTCTTGGATTCCAGATTTTTAGTAAAGAATCAGCACCATTATTCAGCAAAATCAAAGCCATATTCAGCTATAAAAGACCAGAGACAGTTCAAAAACTTCGCAGATTTTTAGGGACAGTCAATTTTTATCATCGGTGCATCCCGAACGCGGCATCAACACAAATACCTAAACGAGTATTTCAAAGACTCTGAGAAGAAAGATAAAAGGCTCATCAATTGGACAGCCGAGGCTATCAAAGCTTTCGATAAAATAAAACGAGACTTGACAACATTATTAGTTCCAAATATCAAAATGCGGTTGATGTCTGATGTATCAGGCAATGGAAGCTGTGCTGGAATAAATCACTGACTTCATTAACTGAGAGTCTTTCTACTAAAAAAAGTTCTCACCAACGCAGATAAACTATAACACTTACGATAGAGAATTAACAGCAATTTATGCCATACAATTTTTTAGACCTTGGATCGAAGGTTACAGAGATATTGAAGATGATCATGGTCAGAATGGATCACAAGTCACTGACGTATGCATTTTTGCAGAAATCGGACAAGGCAACTTTGCCAATTCAACCTAATTAGCCAATTCACTACGAAGATCACATAGTATATTTAAGGGCAAGAGAATACAGTAACTGATTTTCTTTCCAGGATAAATGCACTTAGACTTCTTTCAATCATCAATTTCGAAGAACTATCAAAAGCACAGCTGGAATGCGAGGAACTTACAGGAATTTTACAGGAGAACCAGATGTCGCTTAAATTTCAGAAACTTACTTTTAGAGCATCAAGCACTTTATTGCGACTTTTCAGTTCACGATATACGCCCCTTTGTCCCCAAATTATTTCGATGTAAAGTACACTTTTCACAACCTCAACTATCCAAGCCGGGAAAATCACTACAAAACTGATCGGATAACGCTATATATGAGAAAAAATGAGGCCATCTATGAGAAAAAACATCAGAAAGCTAAGACTGCTATCTGTAGTGTCAACATGCTAAAATAGGACGTCACGTTTTAAAACCAGAGACTTTTCAACACACTGATTTACGTTTTGATCATATTCATATCATTGGATCAATGATTTCCTGTGATGAATATACTTATTGTCTCACCATGATAGACAGATTTTCGACAGGTGACTGAAAGCTATATCCAGGAACTATCATCAGGAATCAAGTAGCAAAAGCCTTTTTCATTCATTGGATCTCTCGTTTTGGATCATCAAAATTAATTACGGATCAAGGATCGGAATTCGAGAGTAAACTTTTTATAGCGCTAGTCAAATTAGTAGTCTAGGACTAATAGAACGCTGGCATCATACTTTAAAAACAGCGATTAAGTGCCACGCTAATTGGAACTGGACTGAGATACTTCCCATCACATTCTGAGGACGTGTTTCAAAGAGGACATCAAAGCTTCACTATACTTTATACTTTGTATAAAGAATACTTGTACGTATAAAGAATACTTGCAACATTGAGAGTACTAGAGAATTTTTCCCACAGGAAGACGTATCAAATTCTAATATCTTCCTTGAAGATTTTTGAGTACACATGCGAACACTCAAACCTCCAGCTTTTCATGACCGTGAGAAAATCTTTTGTTTTAAAGATTTATACTCATATTTTTGTTCGATAGGAAAATATTCGCAAAGAGACATTGAACAATTCATACTCAGGCTTGTACCGCGTTGTCGGAAAGATTAATGACTGACTATTTATTATCGAAATTAACGAGCAAATAACATACAATTGAGCGGCTCAAACTTGCTCATCAAGCAGAAGAAATTCTCGTTACAAAAGATATTCCCCATACTGATACAGAGTGGCCCATTTAAAATTTGGAATTTAATTTGGCTCTAAAAAAAACGCATGAATATTTTTCAAAGTTTATGGCTTTATTGGAAAGGTAATACATTGCCATTAAATATGAAATACAATTTCATTCAAATGACTTCCACGGCTGGTTGCAATATCCCATTCTATCAATCCAATTTTTCAGTACATTTTCCACTGTATGAGTGCGTATTTCATCGATGGCAACTTTGATTTCATGTTTTAATTCTTGAATCGTTTCTGGCTGATTAGCGTAACACTCATCCTTGACGGTTCCCTATAAAAAATAGTCCAGCGGAGTCAAATCGCAGCTGCAAGGCGGCCTATTGACATTGGCATTTCGGCTGATTATGCAATTTTCGAAGACAGTGCGCAAAAGATCGATTGTAGCGTTGGCTGTGTGGCAAGGTGCTCCGTCCTGTTGAAACCAAATGTCGTCTGTGTCTTCCTCTTCAAATTTGGGAAGCAAGAATTCGTTTAGCATTGCGCAGTAGCGCTCGCCATTGACAGCTCCTTGCTCATTTTCGAAGAAAAATGACCCAATGATACCGCCGGACCAAAAACCACACCAAACAGTCATTCATTGTGCATCGGCTTCTCCATGACGACGTGCGGATTCTTTGACTCCCAAATACGACAATTCTGCTTGTTCACATAGCCATCGAGATGAAAATGAGCTTCGTCAGAAAAAATGATTTTTCGGTAAAAATGCTCATCTTCAACCAAGCGTTGTTCCCAGTCCATTGGGCTGAATCAAAAACGCATCAGATGGTCATGCGGCTTCAATTCTTGCACTAATTGAACTTTATACGGCTTCATACCGAGGTCTTTATTCAAAATTCTTCTCAAAAAAGTGCGTGAAATGTTCAAGTTTTGAGAACGATGGCGAGTTGATATTGATGGTTGTTCAAGCACACTCTGAGCAACAGCAGCAATGTTTTCGGTTGACCTTACTGGACGAGCACGTGAATGAGTTGTTTTATCCAATAAGGATCCAGTTTGCCGAATTCGCTTTACAAATTGATCCACAAACTGCGTTAAAAGCATTTCTTTTCTATAAAATTTTCCACGTAAATTTCTTACAATTTGAGTTGAAGACTCACCACTTTGGAAGTAAGTTTCAATATTTCTCAATTTTGTTCAAGCATATAGCGACCCATTTCGTAAATGTCAAACAAAAAACTAAATTTCTGTACGTCATAAATGTTATTACGCCTTTCAAACTCAAAATAATCGGTAGTTGAAATTCCAAATGCTAGATGGCCCACTCGTAGAGAACACGATTCACAAGAAAAGGAACTCGGAATATAAAAAGGAGAAAACGAAGATTAACAGTCTTATGCTAATACAGTCCTCGGATTGACTTACGAGATTTTAAGATTGTAAGTATGCCAAATAAGGAAAAATTTAGTACCAATTTTATGGCGCGAAATAGGCCGATATTTATAGTCGATTCTTCCATTTAAGACTGTCTTAAGTACAGTCTTAAGATGTCATAAATCAATCTGAGGACTGAATTAGCATTTTAAGACATTATTTAAGACAGTTTTAAAATAAAAACGAACTATGAATATCGTTCTATTTTGCGTTTTACAGCTAGTAGCCCACTCACACTGCAAATCCATAGACAAAGAGAGCAGAGATTTAATTTTAATTTAATTAAAAAGACACTGTCCAATTGCACACACCATGTATGAAACGCAAGAAAGTGTATTTGGGCACAAACATGTGGTCGTTTACAATATCGCTGTTATGCACAATGCTTCATCTTATACATTTATCATGGTAATAGATTTTTTACAACTTATTACTCTGCGTCCCTATATGTATGGTCTGTGTATCAATAGCAAAGAAATTGTATATCTATGACTTTACTGACCCACTCATCCAAACTTTTTTACACTTTTTACATTCCTCGCCTTTCAAATAGTATACGACATATTCCAATTCGTATTTCGCAATTCGTGCCATCTCTTTGTACAATATAACATAGCGTCTCGAGTAGGCTCAGACAAAAAAAAGATTCAAACATAAGATGAATGTAATTAGGGTGCATGTCCTAATTAGTGACCAAGCACGTATATTTATTGAAATTGCAAGGAATTTCTGCAATGTATATCGCCAATATTAATTTTTTAATGTTCCAATATCAAAGTAGTACATGTATATGCATTTTTATCAATTTCCTACTTTATCTTATTAGTTGCAGTACATTTAATGTAGATGGATTGTGATTCAAGACAGGTGGCGTGTAATGGTCGCCACCTTGTAAATATCAGTGAAATCAGTGGATGAATTTTCATTTACGTACATACAATTTACTTTAAAAAAAGTATCAAGAGGATTATTTGAATATATATTGAATATATATAAATTAACGGTAACGTTGAATATAAATTAACGGAAAAGAAATTAACGGTAAGTACAAATATACGCAAAGCATATTGAATCAAATAATTGTGATGAACAACAATATGTACCGAAAAAAAAATACATGTCAAATTAATGTCCGACTAAATAAAATAACTTGAAAAAAATGTGATTTTTATCATTTTCGTTAGGAAAAAATCTTATATTATTGTCTAATTTTAGCTTATATTTATATTAGTTTGTTTGGCAAATCATACCTTAAAAAGGTGCACATAATAATCTAAAGTAATGCCACTGAATTCATAGTCTTCATTGAGAAGGTTATTATTTGGGATGTTATAATTTTGGTACCAATATTAACTGGATTATTTCAATACATACAAAATTTATTTTTGTACAAAAATTAACTTAAGTAAATGATAAATAAGTCATAAAAATATTACTAAAAACCCCATAAAATCATTTGATCATTTGTTCAATCATTTAGTGAAAAAAAAAAAAAAAAAAACATTCATTGTAAAATCAAGTCGTTTTTTTAATCATTCGTTTAAGAAAATCATTTTATCATTCATTTAACTCAATGTTAAAAAGTAAAAAAATAATGTATAATAGTGTTAAAATCTCAAAGTTCAATAAAAAAAATTTTTAATACCTTACTATTCAGTAGTAATTTATATTTACAGGATATATTTAAAGTTTCTATAATGAGAAAAGTTCGAAAAAAATGGACAATGAGCTTCAGTCGGCACTCGCTGTTCTGATCAATCTGTTTCAAATGTCAGTAAGGAAAGTGGCATTCCAAAAACGATTTCTATACAAACTCAAAGGAAAGTCGCCAATAAGCAGCAGACATATACGCTTGCAGCAGATACATTGCAATTCCGATCACTAATCAGACTGTTAATATGAGGCACCAATCATTAACTGGGTCAAACATATACATAGTCTATAACTAACTAGGACAAAGCAAAATCGAGCGGATATCGACGCTAATAGGTTTACATGTAGCGATATGTTATTTTATGAATAAAAATGTATATAGTATTACAAGATTATAGTGATGATTTTCAATTGACAAATGATCTAGCTTTCCTATAATAACAAGAGTTTCAATTAAAAGCCAAGTTTTGTTAAATCTGATTCATTACTTTTACTAACCTTACTTGGTCGCTAATTGATACATTCATCTTATTAAATATTCAATCTATTCGAATAGTTTGAAGTTTAAAAAAATGAGCATCTAATTCGAATATTTCGGACAGTTTGAACAGTTCGAGTTTAAACAGTGACAGTATGAAATGTCAATTCGTTATGTTTCGTTATGAAGTTCAGACGATTCGGACAGTAAACAAAAGGATAATATATCTTGGAAACAAAAAGTTTTTTACGAGACTTCAATATATAAACATTTTGACAAAAATGTCAAAAAGAAAAAATCGCGTATAAGAATATTTTATTAAATGTAATAATAATGAAGCCTAATGTAACTTTTGTAAAGAAATGTTCAAAACGCATTCATTTACAATTACATTGAATAGACACCTCGAAACAGTCCACAATATAATTGTAAATGCGTTTAAATACGTATTGTAATTGTAAATACGTATTGTAATTATAAATTGTAAATACGTATTGTAATTATAAATTGTAAATATGTATTGTAATTGTAAACGTTTTCGTTTAAATAGTAAGTCTTAATTCTAAATCTAATACGAATTTATTTATCGTTTAAGTTTTAATATATAAAAGTACATGAATGTACATGTAAATACAGTTCAGAAAATGAAACATATGTGTAATAATGTCACAATATATATAACTGAATGTAATTGAATGTACATATTAAATTTACATAAAATTTCTATATTTATTGATATCATCCTACAAATACCCATCTTGGCTATATTCAGGATGATTCTGAGGACTTGTGATATCTGAGTTCGAAATGTAATAATTCTGAATTTTCAGCTCTGAAGTGGGTCAAATAGTTCGAACATACATTCAGTCTGAACTATTTAATGTTCGAACTTGATTCGAACTGTCCGAACTGTCAAATCATCTGATATTTCCGAGCACTAGTCTTGAGTAACAACATTTGCTTGATACGAAAGTTTTAATCCTTTTTTATAACAAGTGTGATTAGCTATTTTAATGTATTTTTTTGTTTGTTGAGCCCAAATCCATTGGCTAAATTAGAGGATGCGCATATCCAGTTAGACATATCCACTTACATCGATCAGTATAAATAATGATAGTATAAATAACGTATTCGATGTGCTACCTTTAAATAGTATTTATTACTATATTTATTATAATTATTATAATTATTATATTT